AATATAGTTCATGAGTTTCTGAAACGACACCCCCCTTTTCATTGTCTAATTGAGGTCTTTTGGACGCCATTTCTGGATCGGATTCATCAGTTTCGTCGTCACCGACAGAAAGTTTGATTGACCTTCTCTGAGCGCAGCTCTACGTAACCGATCAGCTTGGGCAGAGTCAAAGGAAAAGTTCTTGTATCGGGGATTTAAAAATGTCGACAAGTAATATCTCTTTAGGGCGCAGATCCTCCAAGTAAAAGCGGGCTTCCATATTTTAAAATAACGTCTTTCTTAAATTATCAACATGTTCAGTTTGTTGAATCAACGCATCTTTCTTTAGGTATCTGGTTAATGAAACTGTTCTAGGTATTACATCTGATGTGGATGCATATGTGAAACTAGTTAATTTTGTTATCTCCTCGAAAGGTTTTAAGAGATTTAGCAGTTGTTCTATAATCTCCCACTGGTCACTAATCAAATTTCAAAATTCACGCTTCTTGATTCTAAAATATACACTGAAATTGCTCTTTTTTGTTCAAGTATAAATTAATAACGCAAATAAATTATTTTGTATATTCCTTTTTTATGTCGAATAATAATGGCGAGTATTCGACTATTCGTTATAAGGAATGGCGAGTAATCGGTATTCGACTATTCGCCATAACAACTATTCGCGGCATCTCTGATTTAAAACCAATTACTAAGTACCATTCAATCAAGAAAGCGAATTAAAATAGAAAAAAAAAGAATAGAAAAAGAAAAGTTGTTAGAAAATAATCTGAATGTAAATTTGTCGTAAACTGATTTCATTTCCTTTTATAATTTAAATAGAAAAATTAAAAGAAGCGTACAGTTATACAATATTGTTATATTAATTTAAAGAAATGTGGGGGACAGCTAGCGTACGTCTAAATTTTTAGCAGTAATTCGCCCCCACCCACTGCTATTTGTAATTTTAAATACTGATGTAATCCGCGCTTGGAAATCAAACATCTATGCCTGCGGATTATATTTATTTACGGAAACATGATATTCACTATCGTCGTGAAGTTTGCGGCGTAATTACCCCAAATCTATACTCCCACAAATCATCCCGAGGGTGTCGTAAGAGGCGTCAGAGTGAAACTGAAATGAAATGGGCAGCAGCGTCATCCTCTTAACGACTCAAAATAATGAAACATGCGGACGTCAGCTTACCTGCCAAGCGTGGCAACAGTGGAAAATATACCCCCTGTGAGGCAATGCCCACCACATTTAATGTTGTAATGATGATGAAAGTTCTCTAAATCCAACAGTGGTAGATCCACTTCAACAGTGGTAGAGCCACTAGATAGCTTTTGCTGTCGCGCGGTTGGGCCGCCTCGAACCGGTACCACGATATCACAAAATATCAGCGTGAAGTAGAAGTTTACTTCTGCGTTCCGCTTGGTAAGTGCGGGTGGCCGGAAGGCAAATTGTCCCCCCCCTCCTCCCTTAATATGGTAGCGAAAACAAATAAAAAAGTACCCCAGGAGGGTACCAGCACCCCTGGCGACGGAGAATCCCTCGCTGAGCATCCACGCCTAAGCTACCCTACTCTTTCTAAACATGGGTGCTCAGGCTGCCTCGCGTAACCTAATAAGAACAAGGCAACACCTGTCACGCTATCCATTTGCAACATAAAGGGACTTCATTCAAACGTAAAAGCTGCCCACTACCGTCTGTAGAGAGTGAAGCTGGCTTTACTCTTTTTCACCGAGACTCAGGTGTCCTCTTCGGCTGATACTTTCTGTCTCTCCTACCCGGGGTACAAATTAGAACACTCCTTTGTGCCCCGGGCTTGAGTTTGCGTAAAAGTCAGAGAGCACATCTGTTTTCGACATCTTATGGCTGCGCGTAGACAGCCGAAACAGTAGACCATTCCCTCAAACGGGTCGTGTCTACGGGTGCCTCTGTAGGTCCCATAGCGATAATGCCGAACCAGACCGATTCATCGACCACGTCCAAATGGCTACAGATTCCTTGCTACAGCAGGTCCCATCCGCAGAGATCATGATTAGTGGCAATTTTAACGCCCACCACGACGAATGGCTCGGTTTACGTTTAACCGATCATGCTGGGAAATCTGTTCATGACTTTTCCTTGGCAAATGCTCTTACACTGCTGGTTACTTCGCCTACGCAGGGTCATGTGTTGAGGATCATGCACCTTCCTACCCCTGGGGCGGACGATCCCAGTGTTGTTGTTGATTCTGTCATTGTGTGTGAAAATGTAAAGAAGACCTAATGGCCTGGCCTGGAATAATAAATTAGTCTGATATTTTAGTAGATGTAAATACCAAAACTAACGATGGGAGCCATTGTCAAAGGTGTAATAAAAATGGCGCGGCTCTACCACGATATGTCTTTGTGATTTACCACAACAAAAATAATTATTACTAAACTTATGAATAAAATTGAATTGGCATTCAGTGAAATTGAAATAACTGCCTTTTATAAAGCTGAGGGAGTTATTTGCACGCCAAAAAAAATCATGTATATCTGTCTGCCCAGGCTAGTCTTTGAAATGGCTGAACCCATTGTGGCGAAACTTTACAAACAAATGCCAGGCGGGATCCAGATTATTTTATATGAAAAACTTGGATTTTACATGAAAAAACGTAACATTGATGAAATGAATGGTCCTTGATTACCTTAAACCTAAGTAACGTTACATTAATAGATCCAGACGAGATGAAGCCGAGGCGGGTCGCTATCAAACAATAGGAAAGAGGATGACTTTTAGTTTGACTAAATGGCATAAGGTCATATGGTCATAGGTAATATGAGACATTAGATATATTCCTTTCAAATAATGATAACATATAATTATGTCGAGTTAATTTACAATTCAGAAAATTCACCTGTCACAAATAAAGCAATACCCAATGTCACAATGTGAGTTCTATTCGACTTTGCAATGACATTATTCACATTAATGCTTCATTTTAGAAGTGGGAATTAATTGGCTGTCGGGTGCGAAATTGATTTATTTCTATATTTACTATTACTATAGATATTAATTTCGTTGAATATTAATAACCATAAATAATGTTACTCTAATTATTGCCAGGTTATTCTTACGATTTGTTATAATGTAGTCGGATTATTGTGTCTTTGACTTGGTCTAGTGGTTGTAGTAGTGCGACTGCTGATCATGAGGTCCTGGGTTCGAATCCCGGGTCGGGCCAAAAAAATCAATTATTAATTTTTTCCGTAAAGAAATTCTTAGTAGCTGCCTGGAATCAGGAAGTTGGCGGTGTCTCAGAAAGCACGTAAAGCAGCCGTTGCTCGTGCGCTTGATCTCTCTCCGGTCGTGAAGGTTTACCGTTCCATCGAACTATGAGAATGAGGGAATAGAGAGTGCACTTGTGCTTGCGCATACACTTGGGCACTATCATCCTGCCCTGCGCCGATAACTAGTCTCCGTTGAGACTGGCCGTCGTGGCCGAATTTTGGTCTGGAGGACATTATTGTGTCTTTAATAAAATGGACAGTTGCCTTGACTAGCGTTTCTATAAAATTGAAGTGACATATGAACTTACACCTCGTAAATTCGCTTCAGAAGCCCTGGGATTGAGCAAAAATAAATTGCGCATCCTGGCAAGAGCCCTAACTGGACACTGTTGTCTTTAAAATCACATGGCCATCCTGAGACTTAGCAAATCAAGGATGTGCCGGTTCTGTTCCGTAACGGAAAAAACGCCTCTGCTCATCCTAACTGATTGCGGACCCGTATGTGTAATTAGTCCGTGTACTAAGCCCAGAAGAAGTGAAATTGCTCACAGCTAAGCAACTCCTTTCTATTCATTGAAGACACAGGGCTTAGCTGTGAACTATAGCCATAGCAGTGATCACAATAGATCTTTTAAGCAGCAAAATGCTGGTCATCTCCTGTATCAGTTATCCTGTATCGCCTCCTACCAAACCCACGAGAATATGGGGTATCGGTAGGGTTGCCAGAGGGTCGGGATTCGTCTGGATTCTCCCGACATTTTAAATGATCTCCAGACTCCCGACAAAACTCAATATCTCCAGACAAACAGCTCCTCTTCACATCACAGCTGCCTTTGATTTAATAAAAGCTGAGCTAAAGACTGAACTTTGAAGTACATTGTTTGAATTTTAAATCTTTCCTGAATACTACTAAAAGATCCAAATTGGTGAAACCAGTAAAGTCCAATGCCAAATACATGTGGCAGCCTAAACATTAAGTGTACTTAAATTAGTTATGTATCTGTACCTGTGTGTACCTGTCTTTTATAGCCTTTAAAAAATAAACTTTTTATTTTACTCTTTTTTATTATTTATTTATTCCGACAACAATGTACATATATATTATATACATATATATATATATATATATATATATATATATATTGAATAGTTATCTTTTTAGCTAATGGTTGATGGGAGAGAATGCCCTATGACATTAAGTCCGCCATATGTTCTTTTTTGTGCATGAAAGCGTAAATAAATAAATAAATATTTTGGTCTTCTGGTCTGGCATTCCTAGGTAGCGGATTTTCTTGTTGTTGAAAGTTAGTTTTTTGTTGCCTGGAAGAGATCGCTATGTAGCGATAAGGCCGCCAAATTGTACATGTAATCTGCTCTCTGTTATGTTCTTTGTAAATTTGTGGTGTGTTTGTGGTGTACAATAAAGTATATTCATTCATTCATTCATTCTCTTACGACGCCACTACATGGCAAATCAAAATATTATTAGAAATATATAGAACCGAATTCAAATCAAACTTGACAGCTCTGTAGCGCCATAGCCAAGTGTTAGGGACTCTGCGGGCCTTTTGTTCGACTCCCGTACGAAACAAGTAATATTTGTTAAGCCTTACACACTATTGTTTTGGGTTAGACTCATACAGTTGTATGAGAAATCTAACTTTCAACAATATCCTTGCGTGGAGTAGCTTTTTAACATTAAATAATAATAATAATTTTAATCCAATTTACTTTACTAACAAGTGATATCTTTTCCAGACGAACATCGGTATCACCGGTTCCGCCATCGTCAGGCACTTTACCACGTCCTGGCACCAAACAAGTGACGGTGACGGTGCAAGAGACCGTGGTGGAGCCAGCCCAAGCGCTACAACAACCACCTCCGACCATCGCGACCCGCCATCAACATCATGCATCCAGCGCAACTAAGGAGCTCGATGATCTTATGGCTTCACTCTCTGACTTCAAGGTGACTATTTACTGCTATATATATAACTTATGCACCTGATGGTAAATGGTGATGCACCGAAGATGGTGAAGCGCACCAACTTAACAAAAGCCCATTCACTCTTGAAGACACCCACATTGCAATCGGATGAAAAGATAGATGCTGGCAACTAAAAAAGACCCGGGGCGGTGGCTTGGGGTGGTTGGGTCGGTTCGAATGAGTATTTGGGTTGTTGTCTTGGCAATTTATGTGAAACTGCCCCCACAAAAGAAAATCTTAGTGTAGGCTCCTTTGCTCGTTGATCGTGTAGGAATACATGAGTGAGTTTTGTTGCCCTATTGCGTTTCTGTTTTGTTTAATAGGTATAACGACATTTACCGTGCAGTGGTGGTGTGTTCACAACTCCATGTCATCTCGTGAGTGTCGTGAGAGGCGACGGAGAGAAACAAATCAAGCGATGAACAGCAGCGTCTTCCTAATAACGGATTAAAATAAAAATGCGGTTGGCAACTCGTTTGTCGAGCTTGGCAACTATGGCGGATTCCCCCCGCAAAGGCCGGGGAGGCCTATGGTCAACAGTGAACTTTAACAGGCTGTAATGATTAGGTATTAGGACAAGCGGATGTTCAGCTTCTCCATAAGGAACTAGGGTTCTTATGATACGCGAAAGAAAGTTGAGATTATATTGACGCTCTTTCGCGACGCGGCTGGCGTATGGGGGTAGCCGCACTGGCCGCTGATAAGCGATCGCCGATGAAACCGAATGAATAATCACAACTAAAATCGATTTTCTCAATGAGTCTTTACTGAAATACAATTTCCGTGAAACGATACTGTTTATTTTGATTTTTATTATTATGTCCTCCTCAACGGAGGCTAGCCATCGGCGCAGGACAGCATTATAGTACCCAAGTGTATGCGCAAGCACACGTGCACTCTCTATTCCCTCACTCTAATAATCCGATGGGAGGGTAAACCAACACGACCGCAGAGAGATCAGGGGCAGGACCAACGGCTTTACGTGCTTTCCGAGGCACGGGGGTGAGACACCGCCAACTTCCTGACTCCGGGCAGATACTGAGAATCTCTTGACGGAAAAACTCAATAATTGTTGTTTTTTTTTTGACCCGGGATTCGAACCCAGGACCTCATGATCAGCAGTCGCACTACTACAATTACTAGACCAACGAGGTAGTCGTCATTGTGATTACAGCATTATAAATTAACTCAATACCCTGGTGTAGCATGGAAGGCTTTTGAGATTTTTGATTCACATCTTTTAAAGATTTATTAATGAATTACGCGTGTAATGATTTAATTATACAGCCGTCATTTACATTTCTATTTTTGTAAATGACAACATTGCATAGATTAGGTTTACAAATTACTAGACTATTTGTATTAATTAATATTTAAAAAAAAACAATAACATAATAATATTAGACCGACCAACCACTGGCATAGAAACCATCTTTCAACCATTATATTTCCTTTGTCTAATCCCTACTTTGAAGCTAACAGATCTGTGTTATTGTTTACACACATAATACATAAATTTAATTTCAAAAAAGTTTTATTAGCTATCGCGACCTTTATCGTGGACTTAACCATCCAGCAGTAAACGAAGCTGCCAAAACGATACTTGACCTTATATTACGATTGTTTTTATATAGGTACTACTTTCAACGCGTCGACTTCTCATAACCCGAATTTCGTTCGTAATACCGGTTTTTATTTACTGCAGTTGTCGGTTTTCATTAAAATAAACGTATACATACAAACGTGTACAGATTAGTATAAACTCATTTTCATGAGTCATCGCGGCAGCACGACGTTACAATAGCAGAAATAAACGTAAACGTAAACCCTCTAACTAAACTCGTATTTTCGGTGCTTCTTTGTAAATAAGAAGGACCTAATTTCTAATTAGGACAAACAATGGCAAGGCCACCTCTTTACCTTGAAAACAGCAATGCTATTCCCATAACCATAAAGTCCAAAATAGCTAATCAACTGTCAGGTTCGTCTCGGCACACTGCACCACTGAACACCCGATTTTCCGTTTATTATAATATTTACAAGTCGCCTTTCTTGGTCGACGGCTATTTCCAGACGCGGGAGCGGTCCACTCCAGCGGTGCTCTCTCCCTCTCGCCCGTTCTAACGCTCGCGTCTAAAGATAGTACGCACTGTTACATCACAGGCGTAGTGGGGCCGCGAGCATATAATATTAGAGTACATAGTCAAAGATTTCACTCGGGCCGCATTCGCTCCAGTCCACTACGACCGGCCGGTTTCTTTTCTGTACGTTCCACTAGACTTCGACTTCGATCTTAGGATCGGGGCCGCTCTGATTACTGCTGTTAAATCTGAAACGGCAGTAAAGAAAAATTATTGTTTGTTCCCCCCAGGTGAGCGGTGCGCCGACAGATAGTGGCGCTCACGTCTACCGGGAGAAACACGCGTGGCAGGAACAGTACCGCAGCAACCCGCGCCAAGCAGAGTCCGCGTCTTTGGAGCATATGCTCGGATCCCTCCGGGCAGACATGAGCCGCCAAGGAGTCCAAACCCCCCAAAAGGGATGCTGCAACGCCTGTGAGAAGCCCATCGTCGGACAGGTGGACACTTCTTTGAGAACAGCACGACTTGGACATTCGATAACTTTAAAGTTTTAATAGTGAAAGCAAGTCGTGGCTTTTAGTTAAAGTGTTGTAACTAAGTGATTACAATATTCATTTTTGTGCAGGTGATCACCGCGTTGGGTCGCACATGGCATCCGGAGCACTTCACGTGCGCTCACTGCAACCAAGAATTGGGAACTAGGAATTTCTTCGAGCGCGATGGAAGGCCATACTGCGAACCCGATTACCATAATCTGTTCTCGCCAAGATGCGCATACTGCAACGGACCAATCCTCGACGTTAGTTTCAAGACTTCAATCCTTATATTTTAGAAGGAAACACGTACAAGTCTTATCAAATTTGTATCATTTTTGTTCACAGAAATGCGTGACAGCTTTGGAGAAGACCTGGCATACAGAGCACTTCTTCTGTGCTCAATGCGGCCAGCAGTTTGGAGAAGAAGGGTTCCACGAACGGGACGGAAAACCTTACTGCCGTGCCGATTACTTTGACATGTTTGCACCTAAGTGCGGTGGATGCAGCAAACCTATCATGGAAAATTACATCTCCGCCCTTAACACCCAGTGGCATCCAGACTGCTTTGTTTGTAAGGTCAGTATCAGTCTTGATTATCAGGAAAAACTCGAGGTCACAAAGCAGCTATATGACAGGTGTAGTATTTCGAAATGTTTCAGCTTAGCGTCTATGCCAGGTCAAGTATAAACTTTCTATAAAAATGTACATCTTCTCTAAGAATATTTAGAAGGTATGCATTTTACAAGGTTAAATTTGTGTTTCGATCACACAGGAATGCCAAAACCCAGTCAAAGGAAAATCATTTTATGCCATGGAGGGGAAGCCGGTATGCCCAACATGCGTCGGAGTGGATGAAGATGAATAAAGAATGACACTAAAACCCCCTATGAAACGAATGCCCTCCCCAAAAATTTTCTTACAGCTATGCTTTCGCCGCATCGGCGTGACAACGGATGTCTCAAACACACATACACACATAATATACACAAAACTTATAGAATAACAAAAAGTATCAAAAACTAGTCGATAGTGCTTATTAGGAAATAATAAATTATGTAATATATTTTATAAAGTATTTGTAATGTTAAGATTTATAATAAAGATAATAAAAATGAAAAAAAAATAAAAAAAAATAATTAAAATGACTGATAACATTTAAAAAGCGCGGGCTTTTGAACTCGTGACGCGTTGACTGCTTTAAGGTCATCGTTCGTCACCATCAAGGCCGCGGCCGTCCGTAGCATTGACCTCTTATAATATTGCAAACGATACGACAGTGAAAATAAAAAAAAACTCAAATAGGGTCAAGTGTCGTTCAAAGTTTCCTCAGTTCTATATATAGGCGTCGCTAGTGTGACGTTATGGCGATTCCGCAGCCACGCTGACGGCGCGAATCAGGCCGTTTTGTATATGGGCCATCTGACAAGATGATATTTTTATCATGTTTCTCACTATTCGTGCGTTGTTACGCCGTAAATAAAATAATCGAATCTATTTTTTATCAAATGATTTCATAAATAAACTAATATAATAATTTGAGCTCGTACATAACATAATATACATAATCTTACACGCCTGTCGTCCACAGGTGTAGACAGAGACTACGGAATTCGATTCAGCACGATTCTATCACACCTCCCGCCTCCTTCACACTCATAATAATATGTTACACGGTCTTGCAGGCCGCAAGCCCTGAGTCAGATGAAGCTGTAAGAGTCGTATAGGCTAACAGCGCAAACATCTCGTAAATAGCTCAAACTTAGCCCATCGTCAACTTGCACCTTCGGAGTTTCTTGTCAACTATGCTACTCACTTCTACAGCATTTATCCTTTCTACATCTTGCACATATTGCAAACCCTATCTTATCACACAATTTCTTACCCTTTTATTCAGATTTAGAAGAAGGCACGCATGGCAATCCACAATGCTGTGTTGGTCCCTACTTTAACGTATGGTAGTGAAAGTTGGGTGTGGCAGAAGAAGCACGACAGTAGAATGAACGCAGTAGAAATGCGGTCGTTAAGGAGTATGTTAGGGCTGAATCTGAATGACAGGGTAAGAAATTGTGTAATAAGAGAAGAGTGTGGTTTGCAAGATGATGTTGTGACCAGGATTAAGAAAGGAATGCTTCGGTGGTTTGGTCATGTGTAAAGAATGGATGAGGAAAGACTGACAAAGAAAATTTATGTTGCAGAAGTGAATGGCAGAGTCGGAAAGGGACGTCCTAGGCGAAAATTTATCGACCAAATTGGCGATTTATTAAAAACGGGCCAAATTAGGAGTACCCTTAACCGACGAGCATGAATGCGTAGGTGTATGGATGTGAAGGAGGCGAGAGAGGTGTGTCAGGATCGTGCCAAATGGAAGTCTGTAGTCTCTGCCTACCCCTCTGGGTGACAGGCGTGAGTGTTTATGTTTATTCAGATTTATCCCTAATATACTTCTTAATGACCACATTTCTTTGGCATTTATTCTAGTCTCATGTTTCTTTTGCCACACTCAACTTTAAGTTACTACCACACATTAAGATAGGGACTAACTTACGTGCCTATTTTGACTCATTCTGACTTTCCACAATAGAGTGAAAAGTCCATTTACTCCGTGTCCTGAGTTCACTCTACGATCTGTTTATCCTTATTACATCTACCATCCCTGGTAAGCACACATACTAAATAAACTCATCCAATTGCACAACAAACTTTAGCTATAGTAAGAAAATGTGACTAAATGCAATCACCAATTTTTTCTCATTAATGTAGTAAAACCAAAAATACGTTGTTACCTTCTGGGGCTGTCAGGTAACCATTAGGTCTATTTTACATTTAGAGTTTAATAGAATAACTTTCGTTCTTTTTGAAAATAATTTTTCTTTCACCAGTGTTTCGGTCCTCTGTCCTGGAAAGAACCAGCAAGAAAAAGCGTCATTGGTTTTTTTTACAAATTAAAATTTTTCAACCAATTAGGCTGCGCTATAATTATGAACTTAATTTTGAAAACAGCGTGCTTGGAACAGTTCAGAACAATCCTTGGGATATGTAGGTACATATTTTGAGGATTCTTTACCTATATCTAATATATCAACCATCTGAATAAAAGGGTAAGAAACATTTATTGTAATAACCCTTTTACACAATGTTTGTTAAATCACAAAGAAACCTTATTTATTTCTTAGAACTTTTTTTGAGTGGAATATTATGATCACTATCTTGTCCTTATTCCTAGTGCTTATATTATTATAGTACCTGGGCGACCGAGCTTTGCTAGGTGTTAATAAAAACTTCTCACGGATGACACCTATCTAGATAAACGTGGACTTTCGAAAAACATTATCTAAATACACAATTTCATCCAATTTGTTATAACCGTTTATCAGAAACCAATTAACTTATATATATGCAAGAATAACTCACTTAAAGATATGGTATAAGATTACTTTTTAGTAGATGCTTATTTTTCAATCATTTATAAAAGTTATTCATAGAATAAAAATAAGTAATACTAAAATTTAAGAAAATTAAAAAAAAAACACACATTGACCATGAGCTGTGACGATTCTAAAGAGAATTATCCTGGTGATCCTGATCACGATACTATGATAAAGTTTTTAAATTATTGAATTGTAGTCCTTTAATTGAGGTCCTAGATACGAATGCAAATTTTCAAGTCAATCGGCCGTCTACAAATAGGTGAAAACTACATTAAAAATTCCGTTATATAGATAGATAGATAGAGATATACGCGAAGCTAATAAAAGCGTACAAATACAACACAAAAAAATAAAAAATTACAGCTATATTAATAAAATAGTTCAATTGTTTCACTTTTTTATTTAGCCAGGTTATAATTTAGTGGATGGATAACTTTTATCTTTAGATTGAACAATCTGCCCTAAAACTAATTTTGTTTTCGTATACCTACATTCATTACATTTTCGTTAATATGCTGAATGGCTAAAGTTAATTTATTTCTTTAAACTTACTCTGGGAGACCATGTTATGGTTAAAAATGTCTTATGACCCTGTTCTGAACAAAACAAAAATAGCTTGTGAATCATTCGCTGCAGAGCTCGGATTGCTTGCTAGTGTAGATATATGCATAGATGATATATTATAATCGGGAGCCCTGTTGAAGTTTCACCAATAAATACCAAGAGTTTGAGTTATACCAAGAAAGATTGACAAGGTATTGTAAATACAATTCTTTAATTTCTTAATTTTAATTTAAATACGGTGAATAATTTGACCACAGCAAACCTATGGGTTCCAGATTGTGTGATTTTTTTATGGCAATATAAAACTATATCAATATGCTTTCTTATATTTAAGCGTACATAATACCAGTACACATTTTTGGTTTATTTACAATTATTGGTCCGACTTACACAGAATATACTTTTTATGCAGTATTGTTTCTTCTGGCTAAAACTAATCATTTTAAGCTGAATTTTCAATAATTTGAACCGAGTCCTCCCGTGATTGAGGGTGCTGCTTAGTACTTCAACCGTCAAGAATATAAAAATAGGTTGATTAAACGCGATTAAATCCGTAAAAAGCTAGATTCATTCAGTGAGACATCATCATCATCACAGCCCTTCACCAGTCCACTGCTGAACATAGGCCTAAGTCGTTGGATGCAGGTAGCTCGGGACCGTGCTGTGTGGTATTCCTTGGGTGAGGACTGTGTTCAGTGATTAATATTGATAGATAAATAGCGAATTTGTTTATTAACATTACTACAGGGCTATGTAACGGATTGTAACATAGGAATGAACCATCGTCTTTACAAAGCGAATGAAACATTGTGTTACATGATCACTAACACGCGCACTTCAACGATTATGTATAATATATTTTTAAATAAAAAATAACCCTTTCGCTCTGACAGCGCGCGACATGTTATACTCCCGTTCGCTCGGGACCGTAATGGCGGGAAAATTTGCAAATTAGCAAATTTTTTGCTATATTGCAAATTTTGCTATATTTTCACTTTGAGACAATATTTATGGATAAAACTTACAGGATTTCTTGTTGAATGTATAAACTATCGAATAAAATTATTTTTGGTTGCTAGAAATTGTAATAAAATACATAAATTACCCTATATAGCATAGTAGTACCATATACTTCAAAATTTACTAAAATTACTACTAATTTGAATTCTAAACTTTGTTTTTTGGAGAAATTTATATGAAAATGTTTGGAAATATGTATATTTTTATGTTTTATATGTTTCCATTCGTTACTCATACCAAAATATTGAAATATAAAAAAAAACTATAATAATATTTTATCTGTGTGACATTTAGAACAATATTTCAAAAATAATTATGTGTGAATTTGAAATAAATACAACGTCAAGTTATTTGAAATATATAAGAAAACTATTTTTACTTACATTTTACACTAAAAATAAATGAGAATATGAAAAATAACGCATTTATGACCCAGCCGCCATAATGGGCCTTCCAGATTTTGAAGCTCTTTTGGCAATTTACTTTTCACTTTTTATACCACAAATTATATATCTTCGTGTTCACTATATTACAAGGAATATAAAAAAGAATAATACTTTCGTTTTTAGTCCAGACACAATTATAAAATTCTATAAAAAAAGATGGAGCACATTCATCAAAACGACACGTGGAACGCCGAAAGTTTAGAGTGATTTCTTTTTTTTTTTTTCTAAGAAACATTGCCAGGTTATGGTTTAAAATAAAAGAGCATATCTTTGTCTTTGATACTATTATCTATTGCATATTGTCTTTGGTTTTGTTTTAAAGGAAAAAGTAGTTTTTTCATAAGGCAGTACGTCTGATATTATCTGATCTAATTAGCCCCGTACTAGAGCGGGCGTAAGGTAGGTAT